CCGGGACCGCGAACCCGCCGCGTCCCCGTCCCCGTCCCCGTCCTCCCCCCGCGGCGGTCACGGGCGGCGTCTCCCTGTGCGCCCCACGCAAGGACGCGGCTGAGCTGCTGCTGAAGCGTCCTCCAAGTACCCGCCGTTAGCCCACCGGGAGGAAGGTCGAGTTCCCAGTCCGGGCCCGGGGGCCCAGCAGAGCCTCCCGGGCAGCCGGAGGAAGGGAAGCGGGGCCGAGCGCTGTGCCGCGGCCCGGGGAAGGCTGCGGGTCTGGAAGGGATTTACCGGCCCGTGGAGGGACGGTCTGCGCACCCCAGGAGGAGTCCTTGGACCCAGGGAGGCACAGACAACGCAGTCAGCACTGCAGGACTTTACTACGCTCCACAGTAAGAGCAGAAAGGGAGTTTAAAATACGTTACAAACCAAAACGTGTTTCGGGGAAGTGCAAGATTTGCAAACAGTGGCATATGAAGGAGTAGCGTGGCTTCGATTCGGGGCCGACAGCTCAGCCATAGAGCCAGGGTGCTCCCCGAGAGCCTGTGATGTTGCTCGCAGCATGCTCAGGCCAAGGGGGAAGGTGCTGAGACAGCAGGGTGCAAGCTGTGCTGCAGCCTCTCCAGAGAGACCCACGGCCAGCAGGGTCCCCGGGGTTCTCCGCGCTCCCGGCTCTGCCATCACTCTGCCACAGGCTTCACCTCCTTGGCCATTTCCAGCCGTGTCAGTATTTCATTCCACTGGACAAAGTGCTTGGAGAGAAGGAGGATCTGGACGTGACTCATAAGGAAAGAGATGTGAAAAACGCAGGGAAGAAACCAAGGTCAGAGCGCCCCGGCAGCAGTGTTACAACCCTGATTCCTTGGGAGAGGAAGCAGCCTGGGGCACCAGGCTGTAGGAAGCCCACATGGACTTACACCATGCAGGCACTGAGCCACTGTGCAGCACCAAACACTGATGGGCATCCAGGAGGCACTTCTGAACACCACGTAGCACTGCGTTTCAAGGGGCTTTCTACAGAAAAGAGCAGAGCTCCCCTACCCACCGCAGTTTTAGGACATGTCTCAGCACCGGGATCCTACACAGCCAGGACTAGCCACTGTTTGGCTCAGGCAAGTCGCAGGGACCAGGAGTCACCCGACAGGGATGCCAGCGCACCTCTGGCCAGCGCGAGCTCTGCACTAGCACGCAGGCTGCGCCACTGCGTCGTGCCGAGCTGCACTGTGAGACGATCCAGCGCTGGCTCACAGGTGGCACCCTGCCCTTCTCTCCTCAGGGGAAGGCTGGGCAGTTTTGGCCCTCAGCTCCACTCCCAAGAGGAGTATGACAGGGACATGGGTGTCACCATGTCAGAAGGGGCACTGCCCATTAAACCCAGGGCTGAGGATCCAACAGTATAGGATGGGGGGAGGCAGCCCAGGAGACAGGTGGGCAGTTCAGCTGTGTCAGGCCAAGGGTCAAAGGATACCGTTTTGTTGTAGTCTTTGAGGAGTGCCTTGATAGTGTTGGTGAGATCGTGACGCTGTTCCTGTGGAGAGGGGAGCCACAGTGAGTGAGCAATAAATAAGGTGAAGGCCATCTGTCCTCCCAGTCCCTGACAGCATGGGGGGAAACTCATCCAAGGCCAGTACTGAGATTAGCACTCAGACGCTGGCTCTGGCCACTCATTGCAGCCAGAAGGGCTTCAACAGTCAAGGGGAAGGTTACGAACATCCGTGCTGATGAAGCATCAAAGCCCCTGGGTGTAAAAGCAACTAAGCCTTAAGCCTTACTGTTTCTAAGACTATTCATATTAGACATATAACTAATGATTAGAAATTGGTTTAGACATGATGAATAGAATCCAGGTGCTTATAAAACAATATGCATAAGCTGCTTATTTGTCCTATGTGTCTCCCCCTCCATGGCTGGCTTGAAACCCAGGCAAGCTAAATCAACAGAAGAAGGATCATACATCTTAGACCTAAGACATGGGAGTAAGTGATTAACTTTAGAACAAGATAAATTAATAGAATAGCCTGAGTGATTTTCAGAAATTCAAAGGTGATCTTTGATGTGTAAGCAGATAAGTGATTGTGGTGACCGAAGACCTTCTGCCTACGACCACTAACTTCAGAAGAACCGGGACACGAGAATTGATGAGATGAGATGAGGAATGATAATGACATGGGCACAGAGATCGACTGGAAAACTACAAAGACTTTGGACTGGGACAATGGGTGGTAAAAAGGTATATAAGATTGGGAAATTTTTGGAAGGTTGCCATTCACTGCGGTGGTGGCCCAAGTCTTGAGCTGTTAATAAAGCAAACCTAGAGAAACCCGCGATTGAAAATTCTTTAGCAGAATTCGTGACCCAGATGGAACTCTAGGACACAAGAGAGAAAGAGAGCAACTGGGTATTTCTCTGGACAAACCTGTTACCAACACTCACTTGACAAAAATAATCAGGGGAGTTCACCTGAGAGACTTGGGCACGGGTAATTCAGATAAAATTATCCTGGGAAACTCTTGTATTTAAACTTGCAAAAAAAATATTAAGAAAGATGGGGTCAGCACCCAGCGTTGAAAGGGGGATGCCCCTTGCTGAGGTTTTAGAAAATTGGAAAAAGATACCCTTGGCACAGACATTGCAAAAAAGGAAACTGATAATATTGTACCAAGAGGAATGGCCATTCGTGACGAGAAATAGAGGAGGAGGGCCAATGGACGAGCGGCCTTCTAAGGGAACATTTAAACCCCATAAGCAGAAGTTTTTGAGAATGATTTTGGAAGACTCCAGAAGTCAAGATATTGATTATTGGTGTATTTGGTATAATTGGGCACAACAAAGGAGGAAAACTCCCTTGTTGAAAATGAGGAAAAGTTTACTTCCCTTGGCCCCAACGGCTGAGGAAACTGAGCTTTTCTCTAAGGGTGTTGGCATGTACCCAATGCGTTTGGACTACATCCCAAACCCAAGAGCAGGTCCAGGTGCACCTGCTGAAGTTCCTGCAGTAACTGCAGTAATGAGGCATGAACCTTCGAAACAAGGTGATTTAGTAGCTTGGCAGTTGAAGATGCCTCCGCTGCATGATGATGCTGAAAAATGTGCTCAATTGTTATCGGGAATTGTCACTGATTATATCCCTAATTGGAATGATATGAGGAGTCTGCTGCAAGAATTATTTCAGGCAGAGGAAAGAGAAAAGATTTTTCAAAAGGATAGAGAAATTGCTCAGAGAGGCCAGAACAAAACAGAACAGAACATGGCCTGAACAAAATCCGGAATGGAATCTTGCAACCACAGAAGGAACTAGGGCTCACCAAGCTGCCATTCAACAATTAATAGAAGCAGTTTGCCAAGCTGGTGAGAGAGTAACTAATTGGAATGTAGGCAGGTTTTAGAATGTAGGCAGAGACCTGATGAACATCTGAGTCATTACTGGGGACAATTGAAGGCAACTTTATTGAAATATGGGGGCATGACCTGTGACAATTTCCAGGAGCCTTTAGCTATCAGTGTTTTTGTAGATCAGTCTGCTCCAGATATAAGTAAATATTTTAAGAAACATATGCCAGGCTGGCAAGATAAGACATTAGCTAAAATTCTAAGTATTGCTGCCTTTGTTTTTGATGGAAGAGCTGAAGAAAGACAAAACCAGGAAGAAGAGAAATTAAAAATTGAAAGAAAGCTAGAGCAGAAAGAGAAGGAGAGAGAAATTGGACTGTTAGCTGCAGCAATTACTCAGAAATTTAACTCACAATTGAGAGGTCGGGGATTTTCTCTGGGGAGATTTAGGGGAAGAGGGGGGCAAAATACAGTTCCCCCTCTTTCCCAACATGCTAACTCTTTAGACTGTTTTTATTGTGGAAATTTAGGACATATGCAAAGAGTGTCCACCGAGACCTGTTGCAACCCGAGGAGGACTTCCACCTGCCCAACCCCCATGACCTCATTTGCAGTAAAGAATGGTACTCCTCTAGAAACTAAAAGAGCAATGGAACCTGTCAGAATCAAGGTAGATGAGGACGGTCAGATTTCTGCAAAGGTAAACGGTATTCTTGTTACTTTCCTAGTAGATACGGGAGTGACATTGTCTTTGTTAAATTTTGAAATCCCCCAGATGTCAAATGAAGCTGTGATAATACTGGGGGTGGTGATGGGAGAGATAAAATATTTGTCTACTCCTCTACCAGTAGTCTTGAATGGCAAATTAGTCTGGGGAAATTTGTAATTTCTCCAGATTCTTCTGTTTCCCTTCTGGGATGAGACCTCTTGCAGGAATTTGGTACGTTTATCTCTTTGGCGCCTACAGGGATCCGATTAATTGTAATGGGTTCTGAAGTAATCCAACTTAAAGAACAAAAACATAGTGATTCAAAAATACCACCCAAATTAGCTGGAGTTCCCAGAGAACTTTGGAGTACATCAGGAGATGAAGTAGGATTATTAAAATCTGCTGAACCAGTTGTGATAAAAACAAAAGGAGGGACTCCTCCTTCAATTTGGCAATATCCAATTATAAATGAAGCCATTCCTAGCATTGAAAAACAAATTGTGCATTTCTTGGAAAAGGGGATTTTGAAAGAATGCTGTAGTCCCTATAATACCCCAGTTTTGCCAGTGAGTAAACATAGGACAGGTAAGGATGGAGATCCTGAATATAGATTTGTTCCAAGATTTACAAGCAGTGAACGACTGTGTACACCCTGTGGTGCCGGATCTTAGTCTGATTTTAACCCAGATTCCAGTCTGGGCGCAGTATTTCACAGTGCTTGACCTTACCGGAGCTTTCTTTAGTATCCCAATTGCTGAAGAAAGCCAACCAATTTTTGCCTTTACTTGGTAAGGGAAACAACTTACTTGGACCAGACTACCGCAAGGTTTTACCAGTTCACCAACGATTTTTTCTCAGATTTTGAAGAATGATTTACAAGATTTAATTTTTCCAAATAAATTGATTTTGGTGCAATATGTTGATGATTTGTTATTGGGAAGTAAAACTGATAATGATTGTATTCGAGATACTGAGTATCTGTGTATCCAGCTTGTTAAAAAGGGACACCGTGCATCTCCATCTATATTGCAGTTTTGCAAACAGCAAGTAAAATATTTGGGATTTATATTAAAGCCCGGAGTACGGGAAGTAGACCCTGAAAGAGTCCAAGCAATTCAAGAAATACCAAGACCAGTGACGAAAAAACAGTCGAGAGGATTTTTAGGACAGGTGGGATTTTGCCGTCCTTGGATCCTGGGATTCAGTGAAATAACTAAACCTCTGCACGAAGCAACTCGAAATGAGGAAATAGAACCAACTGCTTGGGGCACTGAGAGGGAGAAAGCCTTTCGTACTTTAAAGGCTGCACTCTTATCTGCCCCAGCGTTAGGGCTTCCTGATATTCAATACCTTTTAAATTATATTGTGATGAAGTAAAAGGAGTTGCAAAGGGAGTCTTAGTACAAACTTTAGGACTGCATGAGAGACCTGTTGCTTATTTTTCTTCTACGTTGGACTCAGTGACTAAAGCAACTCCTTTTTGTATCAGAGTAATAGCAGTTGCAGCTGAAATTGTTGAGAAAACCAGAACAATTGTTTTAGGTCATCTACTGTTTGTGTACCCCACGAGGTAGAAATTTTGTTAAAGCGGAGAAAGCTTTGTCTCCACAACGGGCACATAGATATGACATAATTCTTTTATTGGCTGATAATTTGAAACTGGAAAGGTGAAATACTTTAAACGCTGCAACTTTAATGCCCTTACCTTCTGACAGAGAAAAAGATAACAATTGTGTTTATCTCGTAAGTGAAACCAGCAAGCTGCAAGATGACCTGAGAAATCAATCTTTAGATAACCCTGATTTGAACCTCTTCACAGATGGCTCATCTTACTATGAAGAAGGTTGAAGATGTACCGGTTTCACAGTCACCACAGAAACACACGTACTGTTGGCTGGATCTTTGCACCTTTAGGTGCACAAGGAGCAGAAATAATTGCTCTAACTGAAGCTGCTAAATATGCAACTGGAGTAAGAGTTAACATTTATACAGACTCTAAATATGCCTTTGGTATATGTCATGCTACAGGGGCTTTATAGAAGGAAAGGGGGTTTCTGACTTTGGTGGGAAAAACTGTTGCCCACGGACAACAGATCAAAGACCTCTTAGAAGCAATCCAATTGCCCTCTAAAATATCTGTGATCTATATAAAGGCACACACTCAGAGACAAGACATGATCGCAAAGGGAAATTCTCTAGCCAACCAAGCCACTAGAGCAGCAGCATGACAGGTTGTGTCCGTTATGTCTCTGTTACAACATGAAATAACATTTGAGCTCCCAGACTTAAATAACCTGTATGAAGACCTCCCTGAAGAAGAAAAACAACAATGGACTCAGCTGGGAGCCCACTGGTGAGAAGGGCAGTGGATTCTGAATAACAAACCTCTCCTTCCAAAAAGGTATTTATTACAGATAACGCATGGCACCATGAGAGGACCCATGGGGGACCAGAGAGCCTAGCGCTCCGAATCCAGAGACTCTGGGCAGCCCCAGGAATTTATGCAGCAGCAAAAAGAATATGTGAAGGATGTAAGCTTTGCAGACAATATGCCTCAGTGCGAATTAAACCTCCCAGTGGCAAAAGACCTCTAGCCACCTTTCCTTTTCAAAAATTCCAAATTGATTATGCAGACATGCCAAAAACAATGGGGTACTCTTACATGTTAGTGATTGTTAGCTATCAGGATGGGTGGAAGCTTTCCTGACTAGGAAAAATGATTCTAAGCCAGTAGTAAAAGCCTTATTGAAAGAAATCATTCCAAGGTATAGGGTTCCTGAAGTAATTGACTCAGATCGAGGGAGTCATTTCACAGCTGCTATCCTGATTCAGATTTATAATTCTTTGGGGATTTTTAATAAATTTCATACTCCACATCATCCCGAATCATCTGGTCAGGTAGAATGAATGAATAGGACATTAAAGGAGAAATTAGTAAAAGTTTGTAAACAGACTGGTTTGAAATGGCCTGAGGCCCTAAATTTAGTTTTGTGGGATATTAGGAATACTCCAAGGCAACCAATTGGAGTTTCTCCAGCTGAGATCCTTTTTGGGAGAATACTTGCTGTTCCAGGAACGTATGTGCCAGCAAAGACTAGCCTCCTGGATGGAGATGAACAGGTAACACAATACCTTTTGTATCTGCAAAATTCTTTTTTCCAAATGCATAACCATGCCTATTGGTATCAGGGAATAAGCCCTGAAATCCAAGTTCATGATATACAGCCAGGGGACAAAGTTTATATAAAGAATTTCAAAAGAAAAAACAGATTTGAACCAAAATGGGAAGGACCTTATACTGTTCTACTAACTTCTTTTTATGCCATCAAGGTATCTGGGGAACAAAACTGGATCTATCATTTGCAAGCACACAAAGAATCTGAAGCGTAATGGACAATTGTAAAGTATTATTCCTTTTTGTACTAGTTTGTATTTTACCCTGGATTGACACCTTGTGGACAAAATTTGCATTGCGATACCGAGATGCCTGTACCAATAGAACTGTTGTTATATATAGTGATCGTTCTTTTCAACTTTCAGGCCAAATCACAAGCCTACAGGAAAAGCCTGAACAGGTCATTTTTTTCAGCTAGTTATCCGAAGACCAGACAGAGAGGCCCTATTTACTCGCTTTTTAATTTTCTCGAATTCTGTGCTAATGTTAGAAGTAGGCTTGATGATTCATGGGATACCTGGTCATTTGTTAGATGGTGGATTCCGGCTCTAGGAGTAAGTGAATTGGAGAAAGCAGTCTTCAATGTCTCTGGAGAAATTGAAAAATTAGCAAATTCAACTGCTCATGGACTTTCCACTCTCCAGAAAGAGGTAACTGAACTTTCAAAAATGACTATTCAAAACCTAATGGCCTTAGACATGATTCTGGCTTCACAAGGTGGAGTTTGTACTGTCCTAAATACAAGTTGCTGTATGTATACTGATCGATCAGGACAATTAATGACAGATGTCCAGAAAATTTGGGAGGTTAGTGCCACAATGCAACAAATTCAAAGAGATGACACATCTTGGGGATTTTCTGACACATTCTCTTGGTTAACATCTTGGTTTCCAAATTTGACTACTTGGGTGAAAAAACTAATTGTAATAGTCCTTCTTGTTATAATCATAGTAGTATGTGTGATTATTTTGTTTCAATGCTTTGTAGGTTGTAACTCTAGGATAGTACAGAAGATAGAAAGACAAATGTGGAGTTATCAATAGGATCGCAGGAGTGCGATGAAAAACAAAAGGAGGGAATTGTAAAAGGAACTAGGCCTTAAGCCTTACTGTTTCTAAGACTATTCATATTAGACATATAACTAATGATTAGAAATTGGTTTAGACATGATGAATAGAATCCAGGTGCTTATAAAACAATATGCATAAGCTGCTTATTTGTCCTATGTGTCTCCCCCTCCATGGCTGGCTTGAAACCCAGGCAAGCTAAATCAACAGAAGAAGGATCATACATCTTAGACCTAAGACATGGGAGTAAGTGATTAACTTTAGAACAAGATAAATTAATAGAATAGCCTGAGTGATTTTCAGAAATTCAAAGGTGATCTTTGATGTGTAAGCAGATAAGTGATTGTGGTGACCGAAGACCTTCTGCCTACGACCACTAACTTCAGAAGAACCGGGACACGAGAATTGATGAGATGAGGTGAGGAATGATAATGACATGGGCACAGAGATCGACTGGAAAACTACAAAGACTTTGGACTGGGACAATGGGTGGTAAAAAGGTATATAAGATTGGGAAATTTTTGGAAGGTTGCCATTCACTGCGGTGGTGGCCCAACTCTTGAGCTGTTAATAAAGCAAACCTAGAGAAACCCACGACTGAAAATTCTTTTAACACTGGGCCTGCACAACTGCCTGCCTCTCCTCAGCATCCATGCTCTGCTTTTGCCCCAGAATGGAAACTCACAGCAAAATGCTGAAAGGGGGCACAAGGCTCTGCCCAGGCTACTCAATGCCAGCTCCAGGAGCGCTCAAACGAGGAAGGAAAGCTGAAGTGACAAGGTGACAGTATCAACAGCCTTCCAGAGACTACAACACTGGAAGAGTGCGATGCTTTACCTCAGTGTCCCAGTGAAAGGGAGAACACCAGCTGGTTAAACCCACTGCCACTTATTGTCACTCAAACCTCTGTTTTGAGCAGGGTTATGGTAGGCACAGCACTTTTCTAACTCAGACTCAATTGTCAGAAATCCTGGCTACTTCCCCCCCAAAGTGCTTAAACTTTAGGACTGCAGTATGAATATCCTGGGATTGAAATAACCTGCTATAAATGAGCAATTCAAGCAATTGCAAATACAGGGGTGTCAGTACAGCCACTGACAAATGGTTCCTCCTCCCTGCTTGTCAAGACCATCAAGAATATTCACGCTACCTGTTGCTGTATGTGGATTTGAGAGAGTCGCTGTAGTTTGGCTGCGTGGTCAGGAATGGCTGAAAGCACAGAAGAAAAATCCATTTTGTTTCTTTTACAGCACATGGGATTAGGTTCCACCAGCACATCACAGCATAACTCCACTCACTGAATGCAAGTGCTGCACACCACAAACACACCTCTTAAATGACACCTCCCCCTGCGGCTACCCTGTACATTAAATACCAAGTTTATCTGCTAACTCCTTCTGGATGGCAAGAGTTAGGGGATGCCAGCAGTGAGGGTTAGTCAAGAACTACATCAGAGTAAACTACTTGGATGAATGCTCTGGCAAGCAATTAAAAAGGCATCTCTGCCTATGCCAGGAACTGGGATGTTCTGGACATAAAAGAGCTCATTGGCAGGAATGGGCTGCGAGCCACCATCCTCTCTGCCCAGCTGCTGTCTCTAACCTGCTCCCCGACCTACTCTTATCACCTCTTGACCTTGCATGGAACGTTAGAGCAACATGAGGGAGGAGCAGACATATCACTAAGTTTGTACCTACTTTACTCACACTGAGTTGTGCGCTTAGCTGTCCTCTCCTCTAGTCTGAGGCTCAAGAAAAAAGAAAACAGGATAGGCAGCAGTTTGTGGGGTGGCATGTGCAGCTCAAACTTGCAGAAGAACATGCATACCTTGGATACTGGCACCGTCCAAGATGGGCTGGATGTTCTTCACCTGCTCCAGAAGGGCTGCTCGCGAAGGAATAAACTGCTCCTCTGGTTGGGGAGGGACAAGAAGCACCATCAGTAAATACAAGATGCTACTTTGGCTTTTCACAAATACTGGTGAGGTAACTTTTCCAGCTGATCTAGCTATACAGAAAGGGGCTTGTTTATGACTTTATTTAGACTTCTGTGTTGCTCATCCCTGGATCTTGGTGACTATACCAACACAAGGCTGAACCAAATTCTTTGGGGCAAAAGAGGTAGAACACAAGGCTAGAAGGTATTTAAAATACATCCAAAAGTCTTCCATTTTTGTCACAGCCTAGAGAGTATTGGAAGTTGGGTGTTCCAGCTCCAGTGTTTCTTTTCAACCTTTTATTAATTCAGGGTTAAAGTGATCAACACTAAAAAGACAGAACTGATAAAACTGCAGCATGGACATGCACAAGGGAGCGCTACGGGTGACAGACAACCTTGTACAAACAATCTCTGATAGCTCTGAAGAGGGTGCCTTGCCAGATCTTTACAAAGAAATCCATCTCAACCCAGCTTAGGTAAAAGACAACTTTTGCAGTGCTAAAAAAACTCCCCTGTCTCCTCTCATTTCATGCCATACCTGACAAGATGAACTGCAGCTTCATGGCATCTGGAACAGCCATTCTGTCAATGTACTGAGGGTCGAGGTATTTTATTACATCTTCAACTAGAGTGAAAAATAGGTTTGGAGACAAAAAGTAGGAGAGACATTACTGCATTTACAAATGCCATTTTCCCCCATGCCATACTTCAGGTTACTTTGTAAACACTGCCCACTTAGGGTCGGGTTTTTTCAGATCCATGAATTTCTGTAGCACTTGAAAGTATCTGATGTCAGAGCACTGTGACCAAGAACTGACACACAGCTCAAGCCAAATAACTGCTTTGTTACAGACACCTGCAACACTTGTTTTTTATTTGGATAACGATATTAAAGGTGAGTGAAATCTGCTACTTCTTGCCCTCAAAACAAAACCAGCCAATAGCCCTCCATCCTGGTCCTTAAAATCATCTACAAATACATGGTTTACATTTTTACACTGAACTGCCACCGCGGCCTTGGACCACAATGACGTTCCCTATGCAGCCTGCTCCTTCTGCAATACCAGACAGCAAAACTTGGCCAAGAGACGGCTTTACAGGACAAAGTACTGCTCCCAATATCCCCCAGTTTGGAGGTGGCTCCTCAGAGCTGTCCACCAGTGGCTGCGTATGATCCTTACTGCTCCCACCACACACAGAGGGAAAAGCTGATCTAGTGTGCCTGAGTAGTCCAAGCGTGCAAGAAGTCATTTCAGAAGCTCATGCTCCAAGAACCTTCAAGGGCTGCATTTCAGGCGGAGCAAATCACTGCGCTGATACAGGCAGACAACAAGCAAATAACGCGTTGCAGCGGCCCGTTCCCCACCCCCAACAGTTGAGTGGGAGAATTGCGAGCAGAAAGACCTCACTCAGTTACTTACTTCTCTGCCAAATATGCAAAAACAACAGCCCAAAATCAAAGGGGCTCACACGGGGAGGGAGCGGGGGGGGGGGGGAGGGCATTTTTTTTTTTTGGGGGGG